GACTGAGAACTGCAAACAACGTCAGCAGGAATGTGGCTACGTAGGTAAACACCAACACCACCACCCCCGCAGCCCGTACGGTCATTGCGAAAGAGTTTGTAGCCTGGAATGGAACAGCTAGTCGAAGGTAATGAAGGCTTCAGCCAAGTTTCCGATACGAGAATACTATCAACTACGCCGGCGCTAAAAGATGTGAGAAGATCGTTGTAGTGAGCGGGAATGCTCTGCGCGTTGATGTGCACTAGGGAAAGAAATTTGGAGTTATTGCTAAATATATTAGAAAGCTTATCTTCAAGAGGATCAGAGTCAGAAAGACTAGAATTAAGACTTTGCGCACTTTCGTAATCATCGGAAGAGCAAGAAAAATATTCATCTTCTACAATCATTGAAAAATAAATATGTAAACTTAATAAATACGTAAAATACGAAAAAATTATATAGATATAAAACAAACAAACAAAAAATATTTAAAATAAAAAAATAAAAAAAAATTAATAAATTAAATTAGCCAAAAGAACTCACTGCCTAGGTTGACATGTTGAGCAACTCCAAACTTACAAAAAAAAAGAAAACTTAAAAATTAAAAATGTGACAGTATAATTACAATTTCAAATTAATAAAATAAATAAAATGAATGGAAAAACACAATTTGAATTGGAATTTGCTGTAAGTATAATGTTCCATAGCCATAAGAAAAGTCACAACAGAGAAGGCTGTATGCATTAAAGACTCTGCCTGTCTATGGGGAGCATAAAAGTAAACAAGAAAAAAGACAAAAAAAAAAAAAGTGAAATTGACATTATTGGGTGAGATTGTTTTAACTAAAATAGGAGGTATTACAATTTTGAGTGCAAAATTATATATAATGTAAACTGAATACCCCACAATAATTTAAAAATACGAACAGAGTATAAGCCGGCAAAATTACAACGGTCACAACAAACCCGATAGATCGTCATTTTACTGCACAGTACGAAGTCACGACGAGGAATCCTTGGTGTACTGAGAAGTCAATAGTTTTAGCTCAGCCAAAGAAACAATCTTCTTACGGTTCTTATCAGGAAGAAGGACAACTATAACTCCGTCAGCCGACCAGCACCTCTTCATACCAAAGTGAGCTCGAGCTGCCACAAACACGTCCTGCCGCGGCTTTGTCAGAAACTCGGAAATCGACGTTTTGGATCCCTTTAACGCGGTTTTAGCTTTCCACACCATGGACCGTAGATGCACAGTGGTAAAACGAACCAATATAGGCCGGGCTGTGTTCCTTTTAGCACCCAATCTATGGCAAGATTCAAATGCCTCGTTACTAATGCCGGACAACTTCAATTGGTCAGATAATATGACCGAAACTTTCTTGCAAGTGTCTTCCCCAACATCCTCCTTGACTCCATGAAAAAGCAAGACCTTCCTGCGGGAGTGCATCTCAAGACGATCAAAGGAGATGTGCAGGAGCTCCACCTGGGATTTTAGCATGCCAATGGTTTTCCAAACAAAGGACTTGAAAGTGTAGAAGTCCGCTGTAAGACTCTTCACCGTTGTGTTAGCGCCGGGCTGCTGAATATTCTTCTCGAATTCGCCCATCCTGCTATTGAACAGCGAAGATAATTCATGAATACTCTTCATGAGCTGCTCTGCTGAGGCGTCCATTATACAGAAGATGGATAAAGTGAGAGAAAGTTGTGTGAGAGTTAGGAGACAGTCAACCTAAGTGCCAGTGAATTAAATTTTGAAATATATACACATTTACTATTTTTAAATAAAAAAATTTGGGAGCAGAAAATATTTCGTGTGTTCACTTAAGCGTCTACCCGCGTTTTTTTCTAGACTAAGTCCAAACTCATGGTACCACGATTTCGTTTAACCAAGGTAAACGACTCTTTTACGGGGAACAGTATACGTTTTTACGATAAGATTCCGGAGCATATATTAAGATTATCATTTCATAAGTTTAAAAACTACATTAAAAATATTTTGATCGACAAGTCATATTACAAAATTGAAGACTACGTGTTGGATAATGATGTATGAAAGACGACACGGCTCCAGAATCCACACAAATTTGATTCAAAGTGTATTCCATAGCATTTAAGTTTATTTGAAAAGAGCAATCCTTACAGTTTCTTGCTCGTTCTTCTCAGGGAAATCAGCGTAGTGAATGAGCAGTTGCTTAATGTAATGCAATATAAATGTGAGGTTTTCACACAGTGTGAATTTATTTTACCTATGGAATAAATGATCTTTGACTTTGGTTATGGTTACTTGGACGACATTTATATTTAGTTTTAGTAGCTGCCTTTTTGTTCACTAATAAATTTATGTCATCGTCAAGGCATGGTGCCGGAAGATGTTTCAATTTTATATATAGGAAAGTTTGTTGTACAGTTGGTTAATGCATATGTTAAAAAGTTCGACCTGCTTATGCACAGTCTGAGCATGAAGCACTGGAGACCAATCAATAGCACGTGCCTCTTTAAGAAAATTGTCACGATTCATACCACTAAAATTGCGCTGAAGTATGATTTTGGGTTTAGCTTTAGGAGGACAAATTTTATAAGACATAAATAAGATCGCGATTAGAAAATGCATCAGCCGAGCATTGGCCGTGTTTTGCAACGTGTTGCGGGGAAGATACTATTAATAAATCTAGAAGAGAAGGAGTACAATTGGGATTTTGATGAGTAGCGCCAAGTGGAAGAACGTGCATGTTGCTTGAATTGATAACTGATTGAAGCGAGGAAGTACGGTGATCGTTTTTAATGAGGCAAGTATTAGAATTTCCCAATAAAATGGAGTGTCTATAAGATGGGACAAAATCACTTAACAGATTTTCCAAGGAGTTAAAGTAATCAACACGCAACGATGGGCTAGAATAAGCTCCGAGAAGGACTTTGGTGTACGCAAGAGTGACCTCAATAAATGCTCGCCAGCATTGAGTGACGGTGGTTGTGACGAGGTGCTAACTATGTCGAAGCGAATGTGTGCTTTTATATAAATAGCTACCCCACCACCAGCAGAGCCGATACGATCATTGTATACGCAATGATCGTATCGGCTCTGCTGGTGGCGGAATCCAGGCAATGCATAACCAAGACTCGGAGATGAACACTGCATGTATATTGTTGAGGTCAAACGACGCCAGCATATCATAGTAATGAGCCGGGTTATTTTGGGCTTTAATATGAATAACATTAAAATGGTTTGGAACAACAGAAAACAAAATGTCAAAAAGAGAGGGAAGATCGTCAAAACATTATTGCTGCTGCTGCTACTACTATGAGGTGATAGAGAAAAGTAAAGTTCATTATCACTATCAATTTAAAAAAAAATATCCGAACAGAATCCAGTTTGGCATTAGAAAGAACACAAACATGAAAGTGAGACCAAAGAAAAGTACAGCAGAAATATCACTTTTTACTAGCGACACAAGCACGTCTTCCCTTCACATTTGTCGATACCACGGGCTTGGACGAATCCGTGACGATGGGTACCCTCCGCTGGCGCAGGAATGTTCTTCAGGTCATCCATGGAAGTGATGTGCACGCGCTTCCCGTCGGGATCGATCACTATGACAACTCTCTATTGAGTGACGCATTTGTTCACACCAAACATATCACGGGCCCCCATAAAAACGTCATGCTTCGGCTTCGTTAGAAACTCTGACAGAGTAATTTTCGATCCTTTGAACGCGGTCTTGGCATACCAGATCTTGTCTCCCATTTCGATGTCGCACAGTTTCAACAGCACTGGCCCTGGCTTGTTATCACTAGGCGCATACGATTGTATCTGCTGATAAACTTGACGAAGAAATCGGCAATCTTCAACCGACTAACGATGTTACCTACAACCAGCTGCAGTGTCCTCATCCCTCGATTCGGGCAAGTCATGAGGCAGCAACATTTTTTTTCAGCTTTGCATCTCCATATTATCAACTTGACGATCTAGTAAGGCAACCTGCAAGTTTGAAGAGCAGTCAAAATGAATGACCGAAATGCTGCAAAATCAGTCTTCAGGGTGTCAATATTGGCTGATGGGGATGGAGCCTGAAGTTCACCTTGATATGCGTCCATACTCTCGATAAACAATTGCTGGAGTTTGGCAATAGATTCCTGCATGGCATCCATTTTGAGTGTGAGTGAAATGACTTGTAGTGACAACTGTGATATAATAATGTGGTAGCTGGGATATCCTCAGGATAATACACACCGGCAGTTATTGAGTTAATTATACGAAATACAGTAAAAATATTATTATTAATTTATTAAAAATTTAGGTGATCCAGATGATGTTTACTTTCTTACACCTACATGTTATCTTTAAACCTGTTTTCATTTTTAAATAAAATATTATTAAAAAATAAACTATTACCTTATACATATTTACTTATTTGAAGGCTATATTTAATAAAAAGTAGTAACTTATGTACTATATAATCAATCAATAAGCTATAATCAATCAATAAGCTATGTAGACGGCTATTTTCAGTACATTCATCCACTTCTGTGCAACTGAGACTTTCATCATTTCAAAAAATCATCTTAGTATCTGAAACTATAACGACTACATTTGCGGTAGCTACGTAATAATGTCCGCTTAGTAAATCAATATTTGTAGTTTATTTAGTGAAAATATTCTTCAGGAAATTACCTGAAAAACTAGTTTCGATTTCGTTCTAGCCACGCATACAGAGTATTCAACATTTGTGACAACCAATATATACCAACAATATATCTGTACATAATATGTCTCTGTCAACACCAACAGACCACTTTCCCTAACCGTGCCGTCCGTAACCACCCTAACCGTAGTACAATTAATTCGATCCTCAGTAGAAATTTATTTGGTACAAATTTCTCATACCAGTAGGTAGATGACTGTAAAAAGTCTACTTTTGAAAACTATTCCAATACTTAAATGAAATGAAATTTATCGGCGTAACAGTTTATTTCGAACTTGTGAAATGATAATATATGTACATATATTATCATTTATTGGCATATATTTTTATTTTAGAAGACCTCACCAAGCTACAGAACTACTTTAAGGACACTACGGGCTAGGGCGTGACTCTCTTTACGCTATCTTTTGGAAAATCTTAAATTTGTTATACAATAAATGACGATAAAGATGGAAGTAATTTGATATGCTACTCCGCGAACCCGTTGATCCCAAGTTGAGCGAGGTCATCCTTTGGTGTGCACGTGTTCTTCAGTATTTGCAACTGTTAGTACAAAATATGTTCTGATTTAGCGTAAATCAGTCTGCTTATTCAGTTTTGCAAAAGGTTTGAACTTTGCTGAGACGCCTCGTCGCGTTTCGCATGAAGACATTATCTGTAACGTTTAGGATAGTCTTATTAAAAAGAAGTAAAAACGGAAGATTTCGAGGCAACACGCCAAGTTGTTTCGTCAGTATTACATACTAATAAGCAGCCCAAACCGAATATCTCTCGAGTCGAAAACTCGCGTTGAATACCTTCCGCGATAATTCCGATTTAGACATCCTCCGCGTAGGTAAATGCAATGAGACAGTGGTCATGGTCGCATTAGATTACAAACAGCAAAAGGATTGATTAACTATGAAAGCACGTATAAAAGGTAAAAAAAGACTCAACCAACAATCAATATATAAAAACAACAATCGAATTAATATCTAAGCACTCCGATACGCTGAAACTTGACGTAAAAGAGTTTAGATCCTGTTGTGTAAACCTTTTCTAGTCCAGTCGCGTGGTACTGGACTATCCCACTATGTTTAATATTGTCGACTCTGAAAGGAATTCACGTAAGCTCTTAAGCCACGCCTCGTTTAAGATTGGCGGTAAACGTCTCCAAATATTTTTTTCTCTGCCATATACCAGTAACAATGTTTCATATAATGATCTCATGTTCTGACTATTTAGAGCTCATAATGACTTTTGTAAGGATTTGGTCATATTGTCTCACAGTTACTATACTTATTTCGACATTTGTAAGGACGACCTGGATATGAAGGATATTTAAAAATCTTATTGTTTATATGTATGTGTAACATGATTTTTTTCCTATTGCTTTGGTAAGTACAATTTATTTATTTAGTTCAATAGTCAATGAATTTGTCGGTACGTTTATTTACTTGGTGGATGCCGGATGCCGTGAGGGTCTGAAGGAATGCAAATGTACTCCTAGTGTAATGTTAACATGTTAACTGTGAGCAACTCCACAATTTGTGTTCCATAGCTATGCCATAAACAAATAAATAAATGTGAAGAGTTCATACCAGTTCGTCAGTGTCATCAAAGATCTGCGGTTAACTAATGACACCACCGATATCATGGTCTTGTTTTGATATTTAATGGCTGTTTAATAGCCTACCAGTAAAGGACTGCATTGATACGTAAGAAACTATGAGAACAAAGGTGTTCATTGAATATATTGTCCATAGAATTATTAGACACTGCCTACCTAACATCTGTTGTGGAACGTCAAATTCTTCCCACAAATCGAGTGACGGCATGACTATGGGTTCTACGGGAGACATCCCGTTATTGCCGATATTTTCCTGCAAAACTGTGAAGAGCGAGTGTTACCCGTGGCCTCAGTTAGGCCGAAGGTGTTCGAACGGTGCGTAGACGATACTTTTACAATATTAACAAAAGATCATTAGAAACTAACTATGGCACTAGAGAATTGTAGTATCTGAGCGTTCTTAGTTATCTCACTTAAAAGAAGTCCTGGTGACACCTTAGGCTACAGAGTATTTAAAAAAGCCTGCACGGATATGTACCTCATTTTCTACCGCCATCGTAGCCAGTTAGCTACCGTGGGTAAATCTTTGTTTTAGAAAGCACATGACGTCTTTGTAGACGGTAATCATCTGACCGGGGAACTTTAGGATATAAAGCAAGTTTACGTTAAGTAAGCACAAGTTGAACACGCCACGCCAACGTCACATACACAGTGTTTTAGTAGTAGTAGAGCTTCTCGTGAAAGGGTTCATCCAGGGAAGTACTGCCACCTTACCTATTTCTGCTGCTAGCTGCTTGCTTATTCCAAATGCTTACAAAGGCATCCTAACCTACTTGCAAGAAACTTAATGGCAAAATAGTCTAATCAAACGTTTCAAAGATTAAAGAGAAGCCCCAAAGATCTTTTTCTAAGTGAAAGTGATACATGTCTTAGACCAAATATTTAACCCCCAGCTAAATGGCGACAAGACAGCTTGCAGGGACAAGAAGAAAGAAAAAATCAATTTTAGATTCTATTATTATTACTATAATAATTATCATTATAAAGGCGGCAGGTGGTGACAGAATGTCGGTAGAGGTAATGAAGGCTAGATGAGGGTTAGTGGTCAGTATGCTGTACCGCCTTTTTAATATGAACTGGAGGCAAGGCATGACACCAAAAGACTGGTGCAAGTCCGTAATTGTTCTTCTGTATAAAGGAAAAGGGTCGCAGCAAGATTGTAAGAATTTTCACGGTATCAGCCTTATTAGTGTCGTAGGCAAACTGTATGCAAAAGTTGAGATTGAAAGAGTTGTGAAACTGAAGAGAAAGTATGGAATGTAAAAGGAAGAGGGTGTATGGATCAAGTCTTTTCTTTAAGGCCCGTAGCCGAAAAATACTTGGCAAAAAGGCAAAAAACCTACTGCGCCTTCGTTGACTTGGAAAATCATTATGGTAGGGTAGTAAGAAATGAGCTGTGGAAAACTTTGTCTATGTGTGTGGTGAACAGCTGTCTGATTCAGGCGTTGCATTCTCTGTATAGGGATTGTAGCGCTTGCGTTAGAACAAACGGAGTATGCGTCGAACGGTTTAGCATTCATAGGGGTATTAGGCAGGGCTGTGTAGCGTTTCCATGGCTGTTCAACCTGTTTATGGGAAATTGTTTGCTAGATCTGAAAGATAGTAAATGTTTATACAAAATTAATAAGGCACTTATCAAATGCCTTCTCTATGCCGATGATTAAGTCATTCTAGCTTCCTTGCCAGAACAATTGCACGGTGGTAACAGAATGCACAAAGCGTTTGAAAGAAAAGAAATCAAAGCGAATGTGAATAAAACGAAACGATGGTGATTGAAGGGGATTACGATTGACAGCGATGTATAAGAACAATTTGCGAATATGGGTAATCTATTGGGTAAGTGTGATAGTGATATTGAGCAGAGAGTGCAAGCCGAAAATCGATTGAATGGAGCTCTGTTTGCCAAATGGATAGCGAGAATGTCTCAGGACAGGCGTGTTTGGCTGTTCATCGAGGCATTCTGGATCTATTCCTAATATATGGTATTAAGCGTTGGGTGTGGTAGAAAAAACATCAAAATACTTTGGGTGAATGTTGTAGAAATAAGAGCTTTGCACAATATGTGCGATATTTGTCTTAAAGACAGAATGCCGAACTGTGTAGTAAGAGAGCGTTGTGGTAGGAAAGATAGTGACCAGGATAGAGAGGGACATGCTTCGATGCTTTGATCATCTAGAAAGAACGAATATTGGTAGATTAACGCAGAATTTATAGATGTAGATGAAGGCTATTATATATCTCGATCAGATTGAGGATGTCCTTGAAAATGGCCGGATTAAAAGTACCAAGAATAAACGGGCATGTACGAAGAAATTAACGGGAGTGGAGAAGGCGAAGGAGGTTTGTCAGGAGCGTAACGGGTCGAGGTCTGTAGTCTCTGCCCACCCCCGTTGGGAGACAGGTGTGATGATATACAGACATGAACGTATTTATGTATGTATGTAACCAGAGTGAAAAATAGGGTGGTTTGGCGATTAATATTATAATAGACATAATTGGTTCACTAAAGTCGTGAACCATGGGACCTGAAGATGGCCCTAAACGTTGGTTTGTTTGAAAAACAAATGTACGTGATTTAGGCCCAAAAAAATTGTTTTATTTCGAATGTGTAACAATCGCTAAAACCTACACGCCACGTTAGAAAACTACGCGGTCTATACTGTAGCTGACAAGCGCGGAGTTAAAACACTGGTGCAGTCCTCACGCCGTCCAAAAGCGTCGCGACTCGCACATACATAACAAACAAATTAAGTATAAGTTATACTCACAGCTCGATGCAATTTCATTTTTGTATCACTATGTTTTCGAATGTTTCGAAGTTTTCTGATACTTCCTTTGTTGGCGATACTCTCTTTACTTTTTGTGGTGCTTCCTTTACTTGCAGTGCTTCCTTTACTCGCGGGGCTTTCTTTGGTTTCGTTACTTCCCTTCCTTTATTTACCTCCTTTACTTTCTGTTCGCTTTGCTTTGCCTTCGACGAGCCACCGGGAGAGCCGGGGTGGGCCGTCTGTCGTTGTCGTTCATTCCGCTTGGCACTCTGGTCCTTCCTATAGCTCAAAATAAAATAAAAAAAAGCTTAAGTTTCGTTAAATGACGAAACAATAACGTCCACTATGTCCGAACTTCCAAAAAATATAAACTGAAGTACTATACTAATTACTTTCCTTAACAAAACATTGTCGGACGTGCACACAGACTCGTTCATTGTTAGGTATGTTTGTCACCGAATGCCGGAAACTGAATGAATAAGTATTTTTATTGTGATGGATTTTCAAGGCCAAAGAATGTATATTTTAAGAACACGACTTACTTACGAAATTACCAATTAGTATTCAAATACTTTGAGCGCTACGCCATTAGGTATCTTAGGTCAATTTTGTTGCTGATTTGATCATCTTAAGTTTTATTTTGTTTTCTTTATCTCGTTTAATGTTATTATGATAATCTACTAAAATTCGCTATGAATTTGATCCTATTATTTCATTCAGATTATCATTTTTGTCATTTAATTTATTGTTTTTTCTTTCAAGTTCTTTTTTTAAGATACCAGTATATTACTATTGTTGGCTGCTGATCTGTAGGCTACCAGTTGTGTCCACAGGTAGCGGATAGTGTAATAACCACCAGATATGGGTGGTTAGCTGCGAATATACTGAATAAGCAGTCCCCAATCAATAGCGGCAATGGTTATCAGGGCATGGGCGCAAACAACGTGGTCATGTTTCTGCAATACGGAAAGCAAGGGGAAACCACCGTATTATTTTCCCAAGCAGTAACCATCACGGATAGTACAGAACAGGAAACGGCCCTGAGTCCTCAGCAGATCTTCAAGGGTCACAGGGTGCTAAGAATCCCCGGGTGTGCAATAAAAATAGCAACATGGAATGTTAGAAGCATGTATGAAGATGGGAAACCTACAACACCATACAAGAGATGGAAAGATTATCGATGGACATAGTAGATATTAGCGAGTTGAGATGGAGAGGAAGCGGAGAAACGGTATGGGGAAATCATAAAATATATTTTTCTGGAAATGATGACAGCCGTCATAGAAATGGAGTAGGCTTTATAGTGTCGAATAAGATGGCACAGCACGTTTTGAGCTTTAGTCAGCTTACTGATAGAGTAGCTTTACTAAAGTTGGATAGCCACCCCTTTAAGCTGAATATCATTCAGATATATGCACCTACAGCAGACAGTTCGGAGGAAGACGCAGATTCTTTTTACTCAGACATCACTGAATGCTTAAAGCTTACTAAGAACCATGACATAAATGTATTCATGTCATGTCAGAGACCCATAAAAGGTGTTGTTGGCTCGTTTGGACTTGTTGTTGGCAATGAACGCGGAGACCGTCTAGTTGATTTTTGTTTCAAAATCAAATCAAAATCAAAAATATTTTATTCAGAAGTTCAGTCTTTACATTCATAGT